CTTGCGATGATTGTGCAACTTACAAATGTTTGAAAGCTTAGAAAAGATTGTATTTTTTTATAGGAATTTAGGCCGAGAGAGAAGAAATGTCAAAGTCGTTTACGTAGCAACCTAAAATGCTATTTGCATAAAATCGTCAAACTAGGGAAAAGAAAATCGAACCCATTTAAGCCACAACTATTATACGCAAGTAGGAAGAATTTTATTTTGTAGGAATTTAGGTCAAATAAGAAGAACATTGTTAAAAATGGACCATTTACGTAGCAATCTATCTAATCATTAGGTGTAAAAAAGGTAACATCACTTACCAAACAGAGAAAGGGAGCACAAATCCATGCAGGGGAAGTTGGTAAGATCTTGGATAGAGCGTAGCCCTTTTTGTTATATTTGACCACTACTAATTATCTTAAAATTTAAATGAATTTTCAACAAAAATGTAAAAAAAAAGAGGGATTAAAATGAAAAAATGACATCACCTCAGGCTTGCAAGCCTTGCAAAGGGATCCAAGGGAGTTAGCAAGATTTGGCGCATGCTCATCCTTATGATGATGGTGGTGATTATCATGATGAGGAGGAGGAACAACATGAAGAAGAGTGAGGAGATCCCCCTTGTTAGCAATGTGGGTTAAAGCCCACATCATGGCTTGCTTAGCTTTAGTGCTCTCGTCAATCACCACCATCACCCTCTTCTTCAACCCCATCCCCATCCTCATACGATGATGACCATGATGAACATGATCATGGTCATCATCCATTTGGGTCAAGTTCTTCTTCTTTGATCCCCACCTCTTTGATCCTCTTGCAGAGCTTGGTTGATAATAGTAGGAGGAAGGAGAAGAGCCAACACTTAGTTGCCTTAGAAATGACTCACCATTGCTCTCCATTATTCCCCTCTCTCTCTCTCTCTCTCTCTCTCTCTCTCTCTCTCTCTCTGTGTGTGTGTGTGTGTGTTGAGAGGTTGAAGATGGTCTTATTACTAATGGGTATATAATATTGGTTAAAATATTTGAGAGGGGAAAAGGACAAGGGGAAAAGGAAGTCACGAGAGGAGTAGTGAATTCTTGTGAGCAATGAGCTCAGCTTGAATGATGGAGGGGAGAATCTTACCATAGTAATTTAATAAGGGAACCTGACAGTTGTTTATTTATTTAGTGGTCCAGTTTGAAATTTAATACTTGATTAGTCCCTTAAGAGGGAGATTATTTTTCATTTTACACATTAGCGGAAGATTAATAGCTGAGTGCACACCATTAGAGGTAGGCAGCTGATAACTCTGTGGTAGTTTTTTTCGAAGTTCAGCGCTATTATACCCCAAAATCTAGTGTGTTTGCGAATTTACTCTTCAAATCTAGACATTTGCTTATATATCACACATATTTTTCACATTGGTTTTCTACCGCTTAATTTTTAAACTCACTAGTAGATACCCTGACTAAATTAAATTTGTTCTGTGACTTATTTGCATGTACTCTTTCTCAGTCTCACTCGTCTCTCCCTCCCTCCCTCCCTCTCTCTAACAATTTAATAATTTATTAAAATTTAATTAACTTAGTCATGGGTATAATAGTGAATTCCAAAATTGACGGGGATAAAATAACCAGTGTAAGAGATTTGTGGGACAAATTAGCAAATATCTAGATTTAGGGGAGGTTCGCAAACATGGTATATTTGGGGGGGTATATATATGCAAAAAATCCCCTACTTGTATCTACATTTTTGAATGAACTAACATGAATATACACTCACATTTGCGAAAATACTATTAAAAACTGGATTTGGACTGGATTGTTTGTGACAATCTATATCCATGCGCAAGAATTAGTGAACACCTTCATCACTTTGATGAGCGCAGAGTATTGATGAACGTATTTATGATGGAGCTGTAAATATGGCAGTTGAAGATCAGATTGGTATATTTAACAAAACTGGGACAAAAGTTTAACAATCTTTACTGCAACTTCAACTGCAGCAAAAGAATTGATTGTATAGCTCCAATTTGGAGTGTAAATGTAGTAATCATGACTGTTTGGATGTCTGTGATTATTTCTTTGATTAATCCTTAGAAAAATTATTGTTCTCGGTTTGTGAAAATACCACGTACGTAGTCAACTAACCCTCTAAAAATTTTCCTCGGATCAGTGTGCATCTTTCTTCTTCTTTTAGATGAGAAAGTTGGGGTTCTTAAAAAAACAGAATGCACACATAACAATACACTATAATTATAGTTGCATGTTTGATTTTAAATTTCAAGATCCGCGTCTAATAGGGGCGGTTTGGTTCCCTGTTTTTGAGGGAAAGGCTTTCGTGAAAGCTTGCCAAAAGTACCAAAAATATCACTTTTTGACAGGTTTTCAGCCAAACTCTTCCTTTTTAAAGGAAGATTTTGGCTGAAGCCTGCCAAAAAGTGATACTTTTTGTACTTTTGGCAGGCTTTCAAGAAAGTTTTTCCCTCAAAAACAGGGAACCAAATAGCCTTGTTGTTGTACGTATTTGTTTTAAGATGTCAGGCTTTTCAGGTTGGAGTTGGTTACAGTTGATGTGATAATTTTAAATCCCATTAAGCTCAACTAGTAACGATAACTTATGCTCAATTTTGGGTAAGTTGTTTTGCTACAATAGAGGACTCGATGGGACTTCAATTATAACATAAAACAAATAGTTATAACTAAATCAAAATGTTTTAACTGCATAATTGAAGTTATCGTCCTATTTATTTGTCTTAAAATACTTAATCTAATATCATAACTTTAAAGTTATTGTGAAGATTGAGGGTTACATTTTTATATTCTAACAATGTTCATATAAGTTGATCAGGAATCGTTTTTTTGCCAAAACTTAAACTCGCATAGCGATGTTAATTTTTAAAAAATTCGTTCTAAATTCATAACCAACCGATATTTAAATCTAAATTGTCATGATGCTATTTTAAATTTTTTTTATTATTACACTAAATCTTAAAGATTGTTATAATGATTGAAAACTTTTTTTTTTCAATTCTGGCAGCTTCCATTTCACAGATTTGTCCCCAAGTGCCTAAACCGTGCAAGAAGCGGACTCGAGTACTTGTAGTTAATAGAGAATCCTACTGATTTTCATTCATAGCATCCCATCATGAACGTACTCTTCAATCATCAAAGCTAAATTAAAAACGTTTATGAAAAGTCACCATCAATAGTAAACAAGCAAGGGGTAGTCCGGTAAATTCGTTAGCGTCGGGATCCAATCCTGTCAATCAATCGATCGATTTCACTGTTCGCTTCTGTTCTTCTCCTTTAACAACTATACTGGTGTTTACCTCTCACAAAGCATCACCTTTTTCCCTCTTTTCACCCAAAGTTTTATCCCAACATATTTAAAACCCCACTCACTTTTTAAAACATCAATAGACCTATTGTATCTCATCTCACTTATTTTTAAACCCAACATGTACAATACACCCATTATTTATACTGTATTTATCCAATAACTTGAAAAATTCTAAACTACCCTTCATCCCCAAACTGATCTCTCACTCTCTCCTTCTCCTCCAACTGAGCCAAGAGCTCTCTTCTTCCTTCCTCTTCTCCTTCAACCACTACCACCAACCTCCTCCTCTCCCCTCCCTTCGCTTCCCCTCCTCCCTCAAGCCCATCAACCTCTGCATCCACCGCCCCCTATCTCCCCTCGCCGCTACATCACCCACCACCGTCGACCTTGAAGCAGATGAATAGCCCACCAATGATTTCGACATTGACTCCCTACAGTTCGCCGATGTGGCGGCAGATAAGGACCTGAAGCACTTGTCGTTGTCACCAGTGGACGGAGCTTGAGGAGCACCCAGAGTAATATCGGAGGTCGAAGATCACCTGACTTTGTAAGGAGCTGCTTTCGCATAAGCCAACGACGATGGTAAGGATCCCTGGGGCTCAAAGAAAGTGGGTTCGGCAGGAGGAGGTGGGTTATGTTGTTCTCCATTGCAAGTCAGGTTAGTACAACTCTTTGCCCACCACCTGTTCGTTGAATTTACGTGTTCTCTCTTGTTGGTGTTGGGAATGGTGAAGAGTTGCAACATAAAAATTCTAATTTTCTTTTTGCTTGGTGGTCCTTCAGATTCTTATTGTTCTTGTGGGTTTTGATAATTTAAAGCATTACGACATCAAAATCGATATTACTTTCATGTATTTTGATTTGGAAATGCATGATAAGTTAGAATTGATATTGCATAAAAGCTTATAGATGAATCCTTTGAAAGTGGTATGAAGCCTCTTATGCCAGCGTTTCTCGATATTACTTTCATATGTATTTTGTTTTGGAAATGCACGATAAGTTAGAATTGGTAGTTAATAAAATTTTCTTATCATGCAATCATTGATTGTGGCATTTATTTGTGCAGGTGCATAGATTGCAGTATTTTCATGATGGGATACATATATTCCATCATCAATGGCACACCTCCATTCATTCATCAAACGATTGCGAACTCCTAAGAGCAAAGATCGTATTGCATTTGTCTCAGAGAAATCAAAAATCCTGCTAGAAAATATTGTAATTATTGTGCATGTTGTAATCATGAATGATGCTCTTTGGATTTTGGAAAAATACAGCTCTTATAGTAAAGTATTGCATGGTGTGATGATCTTTGTAATGGTGATGTGTAATTATTGTTTCATGTTGTAATTATGTTCTTATTGTTGAAATTATATCCTTTTAGAGTTTGAGTAAATTTTGGTGATTTTCGATTATTTTCATTGTTTAATGTTAGATATGAAAGATGCTGCAGATCCTCTCTCAATTTTCTAGTTTTAAAAAAGTATAGCACTTTATGGGAAAGTATAGCAGCTTATGGATAAAGTATAGCACCTTATGATAATGTATAGCACTTTATGACAATAGTATAGCACCTTATTAAAAAAATATAGCACTTTATGATCTCTAAAAATTCTGCAACTTAGTGGGATAAACTAAATCAGTTTTTCTCAGAGCAATGCAAACACTCGATGACCTATATTATGTGTTGCTTGATCAATTATCCTCCTCGACGAGAGGTCCTCGCTCAGTTTTCTAGTTATTGATAATGTGTAGCACTTTATGGTAAAGTATAGCAGCTTATTGATAAAGTATAGCACCTTATGTCAATGTATAGCACTTTATGGTAATAGTATAGCACCTTATTGAAAAAGTATAGTACTTTATAATCTCTAGAAAGTATAGCACTTTATAGGAAAGTATAACAGCTTTTTGATAAAGTATAGCACCTTATGGCAATGTATAGCACTTTATGGTAATAGTATAACACCTTATTGAAAAAGTATAACACTATATGATATCTGGAAATTCTGCAACTTAGTGTGATAAACCAAAATTAGTTTTTTTTCAGAGCAATGCAAACACTCGATGACCTATATTATGTGTTGCTTGATCAATTATCCTCCTCGATGAGAGGTCCTCGCTCAATTTTCTAGCTTTTGGCAAAATATAGCATTTTATGAAAAAGTATAGCAGCCATAACGAGGGGTCCTCGCTCAATTTTCTAACTTTTGGCAAAGTATAGCATTTTATGGGAAAGTATAGCAGCTTATTGATAAAGTATAGCACCTTATGACAATAGTATAACACCTTATCGATAAAGTATAGCACCTTATGATCTCTGGAAATTCAGCAACTTATTGCGTTGCGATAAACCAAATCAGTTTTTAGGGCAATGCAAACACTCGATGACCTACGTTATGTGTCGCGTGACCAATTATTCATGACGAGGGGTCCTCGCTCAATTTTCTAACTTTTGGCAAAGTATAGCACTTTATGGGAAAGTATAGCAGCTTATTGATAAAGTATAGCACCTTATGGCAAAGTATAACACCTTATGGAAATAGTATAGCACCTTATAGATAAAGTATAGGACCTTATGGTCTCTAAAAATTCAGCAACTTATTGTGTTGCGATTAACCAAAT